TGATGTCTCCAAATCTTAGGGAGTGCAAACTCCTTGAAGGACTTTGGGAGGGTAGAGGAATTTCCACTTTGCGGTTTGAGAAAAAAATGGGGAAATTACGAGGCAGCATTCTTAGCAATCGTTACCCTTCCAAAAGGACGGGGGTGGGGGGGAGAGGGCTAGATTTAAGGGTGGGCAAAAATTCAGCATTGAGAACCCGTGTTTTTGAAATGTGGCACTGTTTCTTTTTGGTCCTCAGATCACGGTCAATGTTTGAAAGTCGCATCCTCGTGCACAAACATCATGACTAGAAATCGTAAGAAATGGGTCGTCTATACGCGCAGGGTCTTAAAATAATAGATATTGGCACAAGGTATGATCTCCTTCTATCTCCACGGAAAAAAGGAGTTTAGGGTTGGGACCTGCGGGGCAGGGCCGGCCCTACACCTGGGGTAGGTAAAATTGCTTCACCTAAACATCGAAGGGGCAGGCCCATGCTGAAGTTCAGGTTCAGCCCTACCTGCCTCAGGGCCTAGTCCTACCAGAGGCGGGGCCGAGCACTAACCACATAGGGCTGGGCCCTGGAGAAGGTAGGGCTGGGTCCTGAAGAAGGTAGGGCTGGACCCTGCAATGCGGGAAGGAAAGAATACCCCCTAAAAAAGAATTCGAGGATGTTACTCTACTTGTACGAGCATATTTAGCGCGCTCTATGCACTGTTCTATGAAGTACTCACACAAAATCGGAGAGACTGTATTTTGGATATTTCAGTTTGAACATTGAATGGCAAAGAAATAGTAAATTTTAAAAAAGCCTGAATTACGCCTGAATTAATTGGGAGGCTTTGAATCCAAAAACTGTTTTAGAGGAAGTATTTGACCATCTACGTATATTGTTCGCCAAAGCAGTTCAATTTTGGTGTAAGATGAGTCGCCCTTTTTAAACCATTTTAAAAAATGATGAAAAACAGGAAAATTATATTAACAAAAAAAAAAAAGACAAAAAAACAAAAAATAAAAAACATTCTAAACAATGAGCTCAATGTTTAAAAGCAACAAAAATTGGCCAAAGTGACTCTCTTACACCTCTAATGAACATACTTGAAGGACTTTTTACTCCTACAATGGGATCATTGTGAAACAGCGCGTCAAATGCCGCGACATTTAAGTCGAGCGACGGTCGAGCAGCGGTTTGACTACAAAATGCTAAAATCTCTGATTTTTGCATTTTGAGAGCTAAGAACGAGGGATTCTAATCCTCGTGGGTCCAAACCGTTATTTTTCTCTTAAAATATAGTATCAGAAGTCTCATTATCCGCATTTGCGACTTTTTACCTCGATTGCATTTACCGAAAAAAAATCTGCAAGATCGCCAAGATTGCCAAGATGAGAAATCGGTGAAACATCTTAAGTACCTTGCGGGACCACTCAAACTTTAGCTACGACCCTGAGATTTTTTGTGCTTTTTTTCTAACTATGAGACAACTTTTTGGCAGGTATCTCTGTTGGATTTCGCAATTTTTTTTTTTGTAACGTCCAAAATGGGACACCCTACTGTTCAAACGCGTTCAATGCCTGGGCGGCAGCCATTATGACCGCCATTTTGGCTTTTGGAGAACTTCTATCAGCTTATATTGTTATTTGGACCTCATTTTTGGAATCTACGACCCAAAAAACCTATACAGTGACACCTCATTCGACGATGTTTGCCTCAACAAAATATTTCACCCCGCAACGGCAGCCCTTTTGGCCGCCATTTTGATTTTTTTGGGCTTCAATGGATCCATGGTAAGTTTTTGACATCATAGGTGAAATCTCCGACCCAAAGAACCCTACCAAGGACACCCTACTTGGCACTTTTACATACGTATCGCAGTTTTGACCCTATCTTGGAGATTTTGGCGGCCATCTTGGATTTGGGGCATCCCTTTGGGTCGGAGAGTATTTCGGACCTCAAATTCGGATTCTACGACCAAAACTACATAAGAATCGACCCCAATCATGACATCAAAAACAAATTCCATAATTTTCACCCCCCGAGCCCCCATTTTGGCCGCCATCTTGATTTTGGGGGGGTTGGACGCAAAATTGAGCTTGACAACATCGAAATTCTTTTTCTACGCATCGAAATGAAGAGATTAAGACATTTTCCACACTTGCTTCACTTACCGTTCCACGGGAAGCTTTTTTTGAACATAAGAACCCGAACTACGATCTGAGTAAAAACGCCTTGGAAAATTCAGACATTTCAAATCCGTCCTGCTGAAGTCTAATTTTCTTTAAAAAAAAAAAAAGTGTGCTCTTTCATTTCATCACACAATTTTTACAAATTAATCAATCCAAATACCCGTAAATTACGTAGGAAAAGTACCGATTTTGAGGAAATTTGACAACGTATGAATGCTCATACGGCGGTTTTCCTTAGCACAGCAGTATTGACTGGATCGGCAGCTCGGGGCCTTACAAATATTTACCTCCGCGGACAAAAGGGCGTACGTGCACTTGACGATGAACCCCCAAGTCCATGTAATTCAATGGTTTTCCGGGCTCATCTCTACGTGTGGTTACGCCCTTTCATCCGCCATACGACGAACTATTTCGTCTCAGCCCGCATACCTTGAACCCCCGCTGTTCAGCGGTCGAAGTCAGTGCTCTAACTTCACCGGGCGCCATGCGCAAAATGCGCCTGAACAGCAGACTTGCGCGTCTGAGAAGGTGTGCCAAAAAATTGGATCGGTCTTAATTCTTTTTCCAGGTTTCCTTAAAAGAATTCCCGATAATTCCCAGTATTTCCAATTTGCGGGGTTGCTAGACGCCCTTTCAAGACGAGAGCATTTTCAGCTTATGGAAAAATTGTTTAATTTCTCCCTGGAATTTCATGGTGCATTAGTACACGGAGTGTTAACTAAAACAGACTGGCCAAGAATAGGTGCTTTTTCAGTACATTCCCAAGAAATTCAGTACATTTCCAGTACCTCTATTTCACGAATTTCGAAAAATTTCAAAAATTTGAAATCCTCGGTCGAATTGCGACAAAAATGACGTAGACACACAATTTCAATGGTTATTGAAGATTAACTCATGTAGGCAATTACTACTCAAGAATCAACGCGCAGGCGCGGGGAATTGCATACTTTTTGGGCTCCATTAAAAACACGCGTGGTATGGAGGAAAAAATTCCGGACCTTCTTATGCGGAATTTTCGCGCTTTTTCAGTACTTCCGGGCGACTCTTATCAGGACTATTTCCGGACTTTCCGGAAATTCCGCACTGGTAGACACCCTGGAATGCTGATCGGAGTCCCTGCAAAATTCGGCAACCAGGACCCTGAACCTGACACGGATCGGAAACAACATGAGCCGGCGTTGATCCGCGAGCGCTCTGGATGAATGTTTAAACGGAGCTGTAAAAATAGCGGGAAAAGAGCCGGATGACGGGGGCGTGGGCGGGGGAGGGGGGCAGCCTTGACGGAGGGAGGAGGAGGAAGCAATTGAACTGACTAATCGATTCGGAAATAGGCGGATCGATGGAATGAGAGAGCTTTATTTTAGAATCCGAGGAACCCGGCGACTCGAGATGTGCAACTCGAGATTCCAGCTTCCAGCAAGTCCCATACTTCTCTTTTTTCGAGATTTTGAGGGATGATCGTGGATTTTGCGAGAAAGGAGAAACTGGAATCAATCGTGATGAAGCGAGATCGATACGGGGTGTCAACTTGTTTTTCATTTGGGAACATCCTGATGAAATCCTGATTTTTGACTGCTAAATTCTGATTTTATAATTTTCCCAAATCCTGATTTTTTGCGGAGGCGAATGTAACCTCACAAAAGTGACTCGATAAGAAAATCCGATCGGATGGCCGACTTTTCTCAAATCCTGATTTTACGACCGATTTTTCCTCAAATCCTGATTAAATCGGGATCAAATCCTGATAGAATCGGGAAACTCCTGATTCTAGACACCCTGCAATAGACATGCAATAACATTTTTTTCTGGAAAATTCCCATTCATGATAAATTTTGATGAGCAGGTGTGAATTGGGACAAATATGGGTAATTTGGGATAAATATGGGTAATTTGGGATAAATAGGAGTAATCAAGGGATAATCGGGATGATTCGCAATAAAACATGATAAATACACTGGAAAAAAGTCGCTTGGATCTAGAGTCCAGACTCTTAATAACATTGACAAGAAAAAAAACTCTTGATTCAATCGGATTTTTCCTTGAATCGAAGAGCGAGGTCTCTTGATTTGAGCGGATTTCCTTTTGATTCAAGCGAAAATCCGAAAGACTGAAGAGTATTTTTTCTTGTCAATGTTTTTAAGAGTCAGGACTCTAGATCCAAGTGACTCTTTTTTCCAGTGTAGATGAAACGAAAAATATAGTGATACAATGGAAGAATTAGTAATCGACAAGGATGGAAATGGTTTTCAACCACTTGATGACTTTTTAAGGGACCTTACCTTGAATTTGGTAACGTTTTCTCCGACAGCCTCGACTTCTCCAGCGCACTCGAAGCCCAGGGTGAACGGAGTCTTCGGGGTGGTGATACTGCCCTGCCGGGTCATCAAGTCCTGGAAGCTCAGACCGCTGAAACAGACAAGTAATTCCCACGTTAATTTGAGTGAAAAAATGAGAGAGAAAAACTCATCGCAAGAAAGACAAAAAAAACCCCTAACGAGTCGCATACGAAGCCTTATCATCGTTTCCCTCACGAATGAACGTAACTTCATTTCATTGCTGCCAATTTTCCCTCGCAAAGTGCATTTACCTAGGGGAATCTAGGGTATTCCTGACTGGAAATTTTACTGACTCCTCTTCAAACTTCATCCAAAAATCAGACAAATTTTCGATAAAAATTGCACCAGTACAACTTTGTAAATTAATTAATTGTGTGGGTCAATTTGGCAACCTTGAAATGGAGTTACGTTTCATTGTGCGGGAGACGACGTTCCGTCTTAAAATAGCGGACGTCGCCTTTTCAAGTTTTGAGAAAATCGCATTCAAAGTTTTCAAGGCTGTGCGTTCCGATTTCTGTGCAACAAGTAGGGTTCGACCAAGGAATTTCTTATGGACCAAATCCTCCTTTAAAAAATGAGTTAAGGAACTTTAAATTTGAAGCAAATGTCAACGAGATATAGTGATTTTAAGGAAATGAACACATCCGGTGTTTTACAGAGAATTTTTTTTGGCATAAAATGAACTAAAGATTGCAAGAGCAACAATGAATTTTTTTTCTATATTGAAGAAGTAGAAATAAGTAAAGACCGATTTTTAACGCGTAGGTTGTTACGATCTCTTTCAGAATTCAAAACCAATCAGATAAGTGGTTCATTTTTACGAAGTTACAATACGTACATTTCAAATCGCTAAGTTATTAAAATCAATGAGAGTGCATTCACGTAGTTGTTGATAAAAAATTAAGCTGCGATACTGACTCCCACGTTTGCGCTCTTTAAAAATTAGAATAGATCATTATGTGCTTGCTTATCACTGACTGAGAAATTATTTTTAGCCCCGGAAAAAATAAGTAGCCAATACATAAACAAAGAGCCGGCATTGACCTTCTTGGAAAAACAAAGCACGGAAAAAAATATCCAACTGCAGCGTGGATTTGATAAAAACTGCGAAATGATACATTGAACGGAGCATTTCGTGGAAGTCGATTCCTCATTCTGCATCAGAAATATCATTCGGACGTTGATAGTCACTTCGCAGCTTCGTCGCTTCCCCCATGAAAGAACGTAACTCCATTTCAATGTTGCCAAATTTCCCTCCCTAAATTGCATATAAATCAAGAGAATCTTGGAAGTTGCTATCTGAAAATGTCACGAGTTTTTCCTCAGATATCATGCAAATATCAGAACAATTTTAGGTCGACAATTGCACGGGTATTCTTCTGTAAAGTGAATCAATTGTTTGGGTCAATTCGGCAACCTTGGAATGGAGTTACGTGCTTTCTTCCGGGAGACGACGACTTCTTGACGCAACTTATCAGCAAATATGTTCATTCGTGATGCTTTTTACAGCTGAATGTCCTACTTCGCGTTCACGTACGACGTACATTTAAAAACGGCAAAAAGCGCAGTGTGCAAGATAAATTTCACAGATGAATATCCTATTCCGTCTTTGGGGGCATTCTGATAAAGACATGGATTTCCAGTCCTACACGAAGGGTTGAANGGGGGGGGGGGGGGGGGGATTCATGGGCCTTGGAAGCATTCACAAGTTTTCAAGATTATCGAGAATTTTGAACTGCATGAGCGGAGACGTATCAGGGAATTTTGAAATTTTCGCAGAGCTTAGAAAATTTTAAAGATCTAACAAATTATGAGATTTTCATAGAACTTCAACATTATTGAAGACGAAGGGATTTACATTGTTATGAATAAAGAAACTTACTCTTGAGCAAAAAGACCTGGAGCTCTAAAACCGATTAAAAAATGTAGACAAGAACCTCGGAGGGTCCAATTGCTTGCCCCCCCCCCTTTACAGGTTCAGGACTCTTTGGTCCAAGTTCAAAAAAAGGGGAAGGTAAAAAATAAAACCTTGATAAAACCGACCACAACTCTCAACAATTTTTGATTGAAATTACATTTCTTAACGTACTTTTTCCCGAAGGAGAAACTGACACCCTCCATATTTAATACGTATACTTTTCAATTTTTGGCGATCTTTCAGACCGTAATTTTTAAACAGAAAAACCCGCAGACAAGAAACAAGTTTGTTTTGGCTAGTTCGCTCAGGGGTCCCAATCCAAATCCACGCTAAGACATTATCGATAAGGCCTACCGTTTTTTGCGTCGTTAAAAAACAAATCGGAGGGGGAAAAAGCACGAAAATGATACAAATACAAGTAATGAGATTAGAGCGAAAACATATTCGAGAACGAAGTGATGCTGTTATTTTTCACAACATGAACGGCGGACACCGAACAAGGATGAAACGGACGAAAGAATAAGACGCAATTTTTCCGAAAGTTAGTATAAACATATTTGCGCCTGCTTCGAATGACTCGGGTATTTACTCGAATAGCAAAGCAAATGGATAGATTAGTGCCAGCCAATACTGCCAGTGATGAATTGAAGTTTAAACAATGCCTACGATAAGTGCACTTGCTCGTTTATCCTGATTAGTTGCATTAGGATTATAGTCGGTGTCATTTGCGAAAATTTTCGATGCGCTTGAATAGCACCTTACTCCTACAGCGTTGCAATTATTACAACGTTAATATTTTTTTTAAATTCCCTCCCATACTTCATAGTTGAGAAAAACTTGAGAAAAAAAGAATGATTTTAACTGTTAAGATGTTGGCTACGAAATGAGACAGTCACAAGAAATGATTTGGATACCAGTGGCGGATCCAAGAGGGGCCATCCTCGAGCTCAAAAAATGGGGGCGGGGAGAAACGGGAAAAAGGGGGGAAGAGAAGGGAAAAGGGGAAATAGGGAGGAAAGGGAGAAAAAAAGTGTTTCTAAAAAATTTACTAAAATATTTCAAGACAGAACTATGTAACCAAAGTTTACTAATCCGACGGTTACTCATTGTCAGTGCCGCAGAATAAATAGTCCGTTCACTTAAGTGAAATTACTCTGAAACGGTGTTAGTCGTCAATCTTCAACTTTCAAATAATGCACAAATTGTACGCTAAAACCGCTTCAAATTCAAACCTAACTCGAGGCTATTTTTTAAAAACATTTCGGGGAAAGCTTCCCGGACCCCCCTTGCTCTGGGAGGTGTCGACCCCTCACTCACCATCAGCATAAAAAATACCCCACCCCCCTCCGACTTATTCTGAATCCACCACTGAAGCTACGCTGACATAAACATGAGTGGAAAACACGAATATTCGAATCCCAACGAGAAAATTAAAAAATTAAACATTTATGCCAGATAATGCAGTCTCATTGTCAGTGGCGTAGCGTGCGTTGCGATACATAGATTGATCTGCCATTAAAACGTACCGAAAAGGATCGATATACAGGGTGTTCGCAACGAACACTTTAATAATCTATTCTTTACCATAATTTCATATGGGGAAATGTACATGATCGATCATTCACGGCTCGCCACTGTATCAGTCTAGAAGGTCAGAAACCTGTTGCATTTACAGCTCGGATATATCTTCAGCCTAAACATATTCCTCTCATTTGAAAGGACATTTTTCCGGAGTGAAGACATTTTTCATGAGGCATTCCCGAACACTTCGAAAATAGTGGCATCTGACAAACCCACCACAAAACATACCCCCTTCTTTTCGTCGAGAAATCGCGCCTCCCCATCCATACGACTCCAATTGAAAGTATTTAAACGGCAATTTAAATTGGTGGCGGCGTCGGGTGCGCCGGCCGGGGGCACGGGATCTATCGAGACATATTTTAATTGAATAAAAAAGCGAGACCGCACCGTCGCGTCGGATGCCGGTGATTCGATTCCGAACCGATCCGCTCAACGAAACGCGCGCCGTTTACACTCGAATCGCTCCGTGCTGAAACCACTTACGTCCACCATGGGACGAAGACGCAGTATTACGGATGATTAAGTGCGGACATGCGCGGTTATGAAATTCCGAAATTGACCGCTTCACTCATTACAAACCCGCATGACGGTGGAATCCACGATCTGTTTAGATTGCGATCGTTTTCGGGCCTATAATTTCGACCAATCATGTCGAATTTATTTTTTCCGAAGGCTCCGCTCGGGTTCAAAGTTGTGCAACCGCGTGGAAAGGCGGGGTGCGGACCTTCTCTCCAATTATCGTCGCGGCTCTGACATAAGGGCGGATCTCCACTTCGACGTGAGCCCCAGTGGCGTGGCGTGCTTTGCGATGTATCGATTGTTATGCCATTTAAACCTATGGAAAAGGATCGATTAACAGGGTGTTCGCAGCGAACACCTTGATAATCGATTCTTTACTACGCTTTCAAATGGGGAAATATCGATGATCGTTCATTCACGCCACGCCACTGGTGAGCCCTGTTTTCCGTATAGCTCTATGTTGTCCAGGGCTCATGTGGGGATAGAGGTGCGACGCCATGGTCCGGTCTTCAAACGCTGAAGCGCCTGGCCCTGCAGCTGTCTGCTCTGCTGGAAACTCCGACACCGACAGGCTACAGCAAAACTGGTTCGGGGCCCAAATGCTACAAGTGCATTGCGGCACTGCTCCGACGGTCAGTGGCGTGGCATACTTTGCGATATATCGATTGTTGCGCAATTTAAACCTATGGAAAAGGATCTATTAACAGGGTGTTCGCAGCGAACACCTTAATAATCGATTCATTACTACGCTTTCAAATGGGGAAATATCGATGATCGATAATTCACGCTACGGCACTGGTTTTAGTGTGCAACGGGTCAAATTGTCCGATTGAGAGCGAAACGTAATGGACGTTTTGATACGTTTAGTTTAAGTACAGGGTGATTAAACCGCCGAACATGAAGCAGGAAAGGAGCAGAACCCAACTTAAATTTGCTGTTTGAGAAGTAGTGACCGAAGATATGAAGTGTCTGACTTTCCTTTGGAAAAAAAAGAAAAAGAAAAAAAATTATTTATTAATGCTCATCCATACGAGCTTATCTCTAAAAAGCCT